ATATCTCTACAAACTAGTTTATCATCCACTGTTTTCCCTAAAGCTGTTTAATTCAGTCAGATATAGTCCACCAAACACATTTTACAAATTTTCATGTTCACGCAAACCTTAACACTGTCCCCTCACCTCCAACCCTTTTCTCACGTCTCTTTGCTTTGCAGAATCCTAGTTATCCTTCAGGAGCTACTCACGCTGTGTCCTTTGTAAAGCGTCGCCTGAATGGGTCAACCCATAGTTATTTCTTTGACCTCTAATTTTTATTAGATTTGTTATCCATATGCTTCATTTATAACACATTTTTTCCTTGCATTACTAGTTGTTCTTTATGTCATTTACACCCAATGAGATTGTTAGGTCTTCGGGAACACAGGAAATATTAACCCTCCCCACACAATCTCTTTTCTTCAGTATTTCCACAGAACTTGAATTATGTTGGTTCACTTGTTTGTTTTCACGTAATTATTAGGTGATAATGTCCAATCAGGGGAAAAATGCTTCAAAGACATCAAGGATAGATCTCTGGTTATATCTTGTTTTTGATATTCCATTGTAAATAAAAACTTACATAATTAACTGTTTTAATGTGTGAACAATTTTTGATCTTTACATATTTATAAACTGCTTTGTATTTCCTGTAGATGCGCCTGATGCAGGGCGTCATGGAAAATTAAATTTACTAAGCCTCTGCTAGTTCTTGGGGATATACCGTCATTAATCTTAAGGAGGTCATGCTAAGGAATGAGAACGATGTGAGCAAGGGAATGAAGACAGTGCAGGCTGTGCGATGCGGGGTGAGGCTCAGTTAGGGTGCCTCGTTCATACTCATGTTATATCTCTGGCTCTAGACTTGATGTACTTTCCCCCTCTTTCTTTTTTTACTGGGGTTAAAAAACATGACATTAATTTTATTATCTTAACCGTTTTTAAGTGGACAGCTCGGTAGTATTAAGTATATTCACATTGCTGTGTAACACAACTCTAGAACTTTCACATCTTGCAAAACTCTATACCCATTAAACACTAATTCCCCCACCCCCTTCTCCCAGACCTGGGCAATCACGTTTCCACTTTCTGTTTCTATGATTTTGACTACTTCAGATAGTTCATATGAATGGAATCATANTTTAGCCTACCAGGGTCCTACTCACCCTGCTAAAACTGACAGAATGAGAGGCAAACAAACGTACTTTATCATGAATACCATTTACTGAGCGCCTGTGTAGCATCCCAACTATCCTGTCAGAAAGGTAGCATACAGATGGCCCTGTTCTACAAGAGATGATACCAAATGCCCGTGGTAGTTGAATAATGTGTGAAAGATCAAGGAGCTGGGGAGTCTGTGCTGGAGATCAAGTTCGTCTGGCTCTAAACCCGGATCTGTTATGGCTAGTCTGCACCTGCTTCTGTCTGAGGAGCTCCAAGTTTCTCATATGGAAATGGAGACTAGGCCCTCTT